AGATATTCTGAAAGGTAATTGTAAGGAAGTGGATTATGTTTTCAAATGTAAGATTTTGAGAGGTAAAATTAGATGAAGGTGTAATCACCTCAGAGGTACCAACTGGAGCTACCTCAGTTGGATCATTAAGCTTAGGAGTAGGTTTGCTGAAACACTTGTAAGAATGAGTGAGGTGGTCAAACTGACAATTGTTACAGATTGGAGATGAGTCCAACTGCATGAAATGACATGCTATATGGGGGTTCTTGACAATGTTGACAGACTGGCTTGTTGGGACACATAGCAGTAGTGTGCAAGTTGGAGCATCTTTCACACTGTACAGGCTGGGGTGAAGTAGTCCTATAAACCTCCACTTGATGTTGTTTTCTGAAAACAAGTATCATGGTGAGTAAGATTATCAGTAATTTCACTGCTGTTGGCCAGAACTCTGATCATGCATGTCAGACCATGAGTACGATTATACTGATGGAAGTGGGATCTTCTAGGAACTCAGATATGATTTCTTTTTCAGTAATTCTTGGGTTTATCACTTGAATAATACAAAAAATAAAAGAGATTTATGTGGTGGTGGTTGCTTCAGAATAAGAAAATCAGGCTTCTGGATAGTCGTGGATGGTAATACCACCTGATACCATTGCAGATTGGTATTAGCTGCTGAATGTCAACTTGAAAGCAATAATCTGTGATCTCCAAATAAAGAAGACATATCAAGTAGACTTCAGAGTCTAATTTAGAAAGGAAAATAAAGAAACTAAGAGGTTGGGGTCATATACATAGAAAAAGATGATGTAATTGGATGATCTAACTAGTAGCTCAGCTGACTGAAGCAGTAGTAACAGGAGATGGTGCATCAAGAAACCAATGACGTAATCTCAGCGAATGTAGGTATAAGTAGAGTAGTAGAGCAAATTCAAGTAGCTAGTGAAGGGTATTTCAAATCCACACCAGCAGCTTGTGAAGTAACAGAGACAAATATCAGCAGAGGTTTCTTGAAGTTAAAGCCAGAGCAGGAGTAGAGCTTAGCACAGAGAAAGCCCTGTTGTCTCAGTAACCCCCACCCCGGCATTTCACAATTGATGGGAGTCAAGATTACACAAATAGAACACACAGTAGTAAAGTACAGAAAACCGAGGTGAAGTAATTGAATAAGAAAATGTAATAACCATGTACAACACTAGAGAGAAACTCACCAAAAATGAAATGACTTCACACAGCAACAATAATCTACAGAGCTTGATATTTCACAGTCCCAAAAAAACTGAAAAACCAGATTTCATACAGTGGTGTTGTTTATATTATATTTATGGTGTTCTTATTCCTCTATGTATATATGAATTTCAAGAATATGCAGCATTGATGCTACTAATCTACTCTTGTGAATTATTCAGC